AGTAAAGACCCGTCTAAATTGCATTTAATTGATAAATTCAACAACACGTATCGTTATCTTGATGATATTTTTTTCATTAATAATCAAGAATTCTCTAAATATACTGCCGAAATTTACCCAAAGGAACTTACTTTAAATAAATCAAATATAAACGGTAATAACTGTCCTTTCCTAGATTTAGATATTTCAGTTTTACACGGGAAACTCTACACTAAAGTTTTACGACAAAAGGGACGATTTTTCGTTCCCTATTGTTAATTATCCTTTTTTTGGACGGTGATATTCCTTTGTCACCATCTTACGTAGTTTATTTATCACAACTCGTTCGCTATGCCCGTGTCTGTTGTGACTTTTTGGATTTCAATGAACGTAATCTTCTTCTTCTTCTTCCGGTAAGCGGCCACCATCAACTGGTTGACTATTCTGCCACATTTTTGGAGTGAGCGCATGAAATGTTTTGAAATTTAATAAACAAAAAATGGGTGCAATAATAATATATACAGGTGCAATTAAAACATGTCATTTTAATTTAATGACGGAGCTGAGCCTTGAAAGATTCAGGACTCGGGGCAGAGATAGTACAGTTTGGCAAGGTGTTCCACTCTCTGATAGTTCTAGGACAGAACGACTCCTTCCGAACAGTAGTTTTTTTATGGTGGAATTCTGAATGCCTTTTCGTTGTTATTTCTGGAAGGGTATTCATTTGGTATTAACTTACCAGATGTGTCAATTTTGACATAGTTGTTCTGTAGCTTATACATCATTATTAAGCGGCTGTGTTTCCTTCGTTCTTATATGGTAGTCCATTCAAGATGTTCAAGCATGTTACTAACAGATGAGGTGTTGTGATATCTGTTAGTAACATACATTGCTGCCCTCCTTTGAACCATATCCAATCTGTGGATGTCATTTTGTTGGTATTTGTCCAATACTGCTCATTGGAAATATGAACATTAAGTTTAAAGTGACTTATAGGTCCAACGGGCCGGGTGTAATTTAAATAATTATTGTCTTATTAATATGTAATATTATTTATACTAATGTACACATGTCACTATAATAAATGATCTACTTACTTACTTACTGCACTAGCATATTCTAATGTAGGTCTGACGAGGGACATGTATGCTTTTTCTTTAATTGACTTGTTGGAGATGTTTACATTCCTTTTTAAGAAACTAATGGTGTTATTAGCTTTGGAGCAGATGGTGCTTATGTGTTTCCCCCATTTAAGATCAGATGAAATAGTGCATCCCATGTATTTAGCTGATGTGACATGTTCAATGTTATGGCCATGTAATGTGTATAAATTGTACTTAGATGGCGTTCGCTTCTTGGAGATGGTGAGTACAAATACATTTGTCAGGATAGAACTTCATAAGCCATGTTGTTTCCCATACAGCCATTTTGTCAAGGTCCTTTTGTAGGTTTGCGGCATCTGCATTGGATGAGATTGTGACATAAGCAATAGTGTCATCAGCAAAAACAGTCGTATGGTTGATTGTATCCCCTGGGGCATGTCGTTTATATAAAACAAAAATAGGATAGGTCCCAGGACGGATCCTTGTGGTACACCGGACTCTACAGGTATGGAAGTTGATGTTTCACCCACCAGAGGCGGGTTTAGAGGGTTTTTCAGGGGGCCCGGGCCCTCCTTTTGTGGGAAAAAATTGGTTGATTATATAGGGAATCACTGAAGCATGACTGGAGCGGGCCCCCTCTTAGGCAGTCAGTGGGCCCCCTCTTATCAACATTTCTGGATCCGCCACTGCCCACCATCACTGAGGAAGTTGTTTATCCACTCATTTGTATTACCTGTTATCCCATAATGCTTCAGTTTGTGGATGAGAAGGCTATGACTAACCTTATCAAATGCCTTGGAGAAGTCCATTATGAGACAATCTGTTTGTTTTCCTTGATCTAAGTTGTTAGTTATATCATCGATAAATTCAATTAGTTGAGATTCACATGATAATCCTCTTTGAAACCCATGTTGAAGTGGATACATGATGTTTTGTGTATCAGCATGGGACATAGTATGGCTAGTTATAATATGCTCCATTTTTATATATAGTTTACATGATATGCAGGTCTATAATTCATTGGATCGTATTTCTTCCCTCTCTTGTACACTGGACAGATATTTGCTAATTTCCAAATCATGTGACTTGGCACTTCGCTTGTATGATATGAGCAGCGGAATATTGTTGTCAGGATTGGTGCCGTATATGTAATGCAAGTTCCTTTAAGACTCGTGGTGTTACATTATCTGACCCAGCTACCTTGTTTGGATTTAGGTTTTTAGTAGTTTGTACACGCCATTTTCTGTTATATTGATGTCCAAGATTTTTTCGAAGTGTATTACTGGTAAATTATTTAGTCAGGGATTTTGTTTCCTCAAATTACTTAAAACCTTTACTAAATTCGTCCATAGATATAAAGATTTGGTTTGGAAGTTTGGTTGTACCTGTACAAAACTTATTTTTAACGGGATAGCACATCCTAATTTTTACGGAAATGTTGTTTACCGAGCCCGGAAATTTAGATACGATCCGGGTAAACTTATCGATCCTTTAAATAAACTTATTCTAAAAGGTTACCAATTCACTATAATAAGATCTTTGAATATTGTTTTTATTGGTATTAATATTAATTTTGTTATCATTAAATTAAAATCAAACTAAATATTATTTTATATACATGGCTCTACAATCTGTCGATACCTATATCTTGACATTGCACAAGGTCATGTTTTTCTCTGATTGTTAATGACGTCTTTACACTAAATCCATTGGATGTGTACTGATTGATATTTTAGTCTCAGATGCATGATTTTTTTTAGTAGTTGTTAGTTATTGGCTTTGAACTAGCGGTCAGTAGCAGCGAGTACTCTCAGATCTGTACTTAGTGTCTTTTTGTTGTGGGGATGTATAAGTACCCTGCCACGTCCACTCTGTGTTTTTGTTAGATGTATTCCTGCTTTGTATCGATCTGATGAGTTAGGCCCTTTTCAACGAATTTTTATAGTTTGTTCTTATGTTGTACTGTTACACCACTGTCCCAGGTTAGGGGAGGGTTGGCACACCTTCAAACTAGTTTAACCCTGCCACATTCTGTATGTGCCTGTCCCAAGTCAGGAGCCTGTAATTCAGTGGTTGTCGTTAATTGCTGTATATCATATTTGTTTTTCGTTCAATATTTTGTACATAAATCAGGCCGTTAAGATTTCTCGTGTGAATTGTTTTACATCTATCATTTCGGGGCCTTTAATAGCTGACTATGTGGTATGGGTTTTACTCATTGTGGAAGGCCGTACAGTGACCTATACTTGTTAATTTCTGTGTCATTTGGTCTCTTGTGGAGAGTTGTTTCATTGGCAATCATACCACATCTTCTTATTTTTATGTCAGTAAAAGGGCTAGAGATAATTGGGGCTATTTTTGGTCACAAATATTCAGGATTTTCAAATTTATTATATTTAAATGATTTCATAATTAATATAATTTAATTATCAAATATTCCTTTTGAAATGCTGTTTACTGAAGTTATGTGCACCCTCTTTCCAACAGCGACACTCCCATACATGAGGCTTCAGAATTAACGTCCACATTCCAATTGGATGTGGCTGTGTATTTATACATATTGCACAGCTAAATGGCACCCCTTTACATGAATTTTACTGTCATCAGGGCTGTAGCAATGGCCACATTTATACACTTCTCCTTAAGACATCAACTCTTAATGCCTTCTGTATATTTATTTACAATACACCTCCCTGTTGTACTTGGGTCAATGTCAACAAAATATTAGTTTTAGGGAGCTACCATTTGATTTTTATGGGGGGGCTAGGATGAAAAATTTTGTCCTGCATTTTTTTTTTAGCTGTAATCTCTGTCCTGCCTTTTTATTTTTCACTCTATTCGGTCCTGCCTTTTTTTTTTAGTTTATCCTGACTTTTTTATACCTAAATTGTCGTCCTGATTTTTTTTTTCTTGCAAGTGTCTCATCCTGCCTTTTTTTTTACTCAAAACTCCTGTCCTGTCTATTTTTTTCAAATTTCATCCTAGCCCCCCCCCCCCCCCCCCCCCCCCCATAAAAATCAAATGGTAACTCCCTTATTATAAGGTAATGTGCTCAATACTTGTTTTTATATGCTGATTTTTTTTTTACTTTTTGATTATTATTACATGCATTTTGTCCAGATTGAATATATTTTTGTTCTGCAAATATTTCTACTATATTCAATATATTAGAAACATAATTGTTTATAGGTTATAGTAAACCGTTGGGGCTCATCATGATTTATGTACTGACGTAAAAATGTTGTTTTACAAATTTGCAAATGAGCCAGGGAAGGCTTGGTTTCATGGAAGTATATACTGCTTTATCTAATATTATTAATTTGTATTCATTCAGAGTCACACATTCAACTGTATTCCTAAACGGAAGACCGAAAACCGCAGATAGAAAAGTGATTTTGCAGTTATTTTTTAAATATCTATAAATAGAAATCTAAAAACCTCAATACTTTGAGACACAATTATTACAACCTATCAAATGAATCGTCCTCAGTCGATATATCCTCATACAAAGGCTATAATTGTATGATGTGGTTTTACCTGTGTTTTTCTCATCTGTAATACCTTATTACAAAATGAAATTTTTTTCTTAAACGGACTTTAATTTCAGGGGCGGATTCAGTCGGGGGCGTGGCAGGCAAATGCCCCCCCCCCCAAAAATTTGCAAAGCATGGGTTGTTCTCAGCTTAATAAAGAATATTTTGATAATTTTACCTCAAAAAAATTTTCGCCTCGCTCCGATCGGCCAAAATTTAAGTTTGCGCCCCTAACCTAAAATCCTGGATCCGCCTCTGTATTTTATGCTCTTCTGTACTTTTTGTAATTCAAATAGTAGAGATAATTGAGGTCAGGTTGAGTACTCACAAAAATTAGTTTAATCTCATCAACTGTCAACTATAAAATGGAAAATAAAGACAAATGTTTCTGTGCTAACTACATTTAATCACTAGTGAATACAAAGCAAGGAATATAAATACTATATATAGCTTGAAGTCTAAAACTTTAGTGTAACAGTCAGGACATTTTCTCTACCACCACTGCTAACTATATTTCATGTTATGGACACTTCAGGTTTATATATTAACCAAATTATGAATGAACAATGAAAATTCAGTCACTGAAATATCATCTCAAAGGCACTTTAACACTGCAAGCTGTTAATTTTTTATGCAGCTTTAATTTGTAAACATATTTAGTCTCTAATGGAAATCAAATTTTAAAGCATGTTTCCAGTATTTAATGTACAACTAGGCCTTTAGATTTATAACCTCAATGACCAATGAATCATAAATGACAATGTTTTGGGTTAGTAAATGTGTTACAATCACAAACAAACTAAGAGTGATATAAAACATTCCTTGATCTTTGAATCTGCATTATTTCACATGAAGATCCAAGAACGTCAATATTTTATGAATTGTGCAGACAAAAAGTAACAATTACTAAAGGTCCATTGTAATAAAACATGATATACAATTAGCAGTAGCAGAAGGAAAATGGCCGCCACACCAGAATTCTGAAGTAATAAATTGCATGCAACTTTTTGTATCACAATATCAAATGTACAAAAAGGAAAAAATAACACCTTTACCATTATTTCATGGTAAAATAAATAGGCAACACTCAAAATAAGCTTTTAACATTAGTACAACAATATAACAAGCAAGAACTACGGTAAAATTACATCCATCTATACATACATTAATTACACATGTAAATACCAGTATTTTTAAATATAGCTATATTTTATATTTGATTGGGGGTACGAAGTTAATGTTATAAAATAATTTTACTCCAGCATAATTTCTACACACTTACATATACTAAATTGTGAAAGCTCAAACACAAACACTGATGAATAACTTATTATGTTCTTAGATGTTATTGAACCCAACTGAAACTATTAATTTAGCACTAATTATTTTAGATAGTATTGCAAATTTTCATGATTGATGTTTAGGATCATCCGTTAAAGATCCACTTAAAATGAAGCTTTTGCATGCATCCTATGTTTAGCATTTTTGCTAGGGTCATTCCATTGTTAATATTACACTATAATATTATCAGACACTTGCTCATAATAAACTTTGCTGGTAGCTTGAAATCTTAGATGTTAGATCACAATTAACTTTTTTCTACATGCCATGATATAAGGCTGCAACGGTCCTTCCAATTCATCCTTCATAAACCAGAAAATTTTCCACCACTTCACATATTTTACATTGAAATGAAATGAAAGGCTCGATTAAAAATTCATAGATATTTAAAAATTGACTGAGGATGCAGAGCTACTTTTTTCTTAACATTGTAGTGTCTTATCTACTTGAGCAATCACATTTAGTATACTGCATCCGCCTAAAGCTTACACCCAAGATATTAAAACCGAGATATTTAAATAACAATGAACAAAAGCAACTGTATACAGGCATAATATAGTAGTAGGTAAAATCCTAATAACAATTCAAGATTTCTGACTTGACTTCATGTTTTATTGAATGTTTCTTTAGGAATTGAAAATAACACTTTTTGATCTAATAATGAAAATCAATTGGTTTGTTATGTGATAATTTTATTCCCAAATTGTGATAGTTGTTTTCAGTGTAAAACATAATTACATTACTTTGAGGTAGTGTAAGTTAATAACACTGTATTACAGAGTTAAATAAATGAAGAAAATTAGACCGAATAAAGATAAAATCTAACTGTGACTCTGAAGATTAAAAAGTAGCTAGATAGGAATTTGTACACTTGAAAATGCACATTTATAATTACTTTTTACTTTCAGATATAGATGTATGGTGAATTTGAAAGTACTTTTATGTTTACCCTTTAGTATTCTTGTTGATTTTTTCCATACTGTATGTTAAGGTTGATTTTTAGACAACCATCACCCATACATTTTATTCACAGGGCTATTGAATAGTCCTGCCATCTAGAATTACTTCTGAAGTAGTCAAAGTCTATTTTCTAAAATCAATAATTTGGGGAAAACAGTTACTAGAAACAATTATGCCATCTTGATTAATAATTATAAATATTCTTTTCCAATGCCCATTATCTGTATCATGAGGACTTTTTAACTTCAACAAAAATATAATAATCTTCAATACTGTAAATTCAGAAATTATTGCGTGCATTTATTATTGCGATTTTTTAAGAATGGACTAAAATGCGAGATTAATTATTGCGATTTCAGGAAAATCTGCATACAGATATAAGTATCAGATATCAGAATGCGAGATCTTATTATTGCAACCTTCATCCACTCGCATTATTCGCATTAATAAAAACCTCGCAATAATTTCTGAATTTACAGTAGTTCATAACATAAACATTTACTTAACAAATTCATCAGAACTTGGAAAAGAAGATACATGTATACACATATTTCTTTTCTACTGATAACAGTATCAGTTCCAATTTATATATATATATATATATATATTGATGTACATTGTCTTCAACTGGGAAAATTGAAATGCAAGGCATACGGAATATGTCGCAATGGCAGATTATTAGTTAACTATTGCAGGACCCATGTATATAAACTGTTTATCTAAAAGAACATGGTGTTAAGTATTAATTACTTGAACTTTCAGTCCATATAACGAACTACATGTAAATCTGTACACATAATACCCTATCCTTTAATTGTTCCAATATTTTGTATAAATTGCATGGCTATATTAATAGCATATATATGTTCTGGTGAGACTATGGTCCAGAGCGTTTATTATTGGGTTATTTTTCTGGTATTTAAGATATGATTATACTAGTACTTTACTGTGCATCCCGAAGCTATAAGTTAATTTATCTAGGTTTTCAAATCTGCTTATTTAGGGCTATTCCTTTTAGATTAGAAAGACACTATTATTTTACTTAAAACATTAGAAATAACAAAGAGTACTTCTTAAATATTCTTACTGTCCTTTATTACATTTATTTAAGACTTTAATAAAGAGATACTGTTTAGCACTTGTTTGCATCATTAAAATGGACAATAATAGAAGGTGTAACAAAAAAAAAAAAGATACCATAATAGTTTTAAAGATTGTCGATAAAGCTGAGGTATCTTGACAAAAAGAACAGGTTTATCTGTAAAACGTTAATTTTATAAGCACTAATGGAGTCATCAAATAATTTATATGATTGCTATAATGCTTTAAGCAGATATATCATTCCATATCATATACATTTTACTTAAACTCACATCTATATTTCAAATAATTAGTATTTAAAAATAATTCTGTATGCAAAAATATATATTCATATTACTTTTATGCACAAACAAAGATATTGTAGCATATTTTCAAAAAAAAATTAATCTTATAGAAACACAATTCCTTGGCACCAATGTCCATGGTTTCAGTTCTCATACCATTTCACCTAGTGTCATCAGTCATTAAAAATTAACACCATGGAAAGTGTTACCTTACAAATATTGATATTTATCAGAAAGCACACTATTCCTGTTTAAATCAACAAATATTCTTTTTCCAAAAAGCATATTTTTCTTTAGTAAATAATGACTGAATAAAATCACACACATGTATTCATATATATAATATTCATATGTATACTGAAAAACTTTGATACATATTAATAAAACAAAACTGTGTGCAGCATATAAATATATTTAAATCTGAACCCAACATAATGCAAGTGCAATTTACTACTGTATATAGTTTCTATCTTAATAAATGGAGAATCCAAAAACAGATTTCAAAGTGATTTGGGCATTTTATTTTACAAATTGTTTTTTAAAAATTTAACAAGCAAATATCTATGATTGACAAAGTAGCCCCAAAACTAACTTGTCTATTTTTGGACCCTTATAATTAAATCAAGCCAGTAAATATACACTATGAATATACAGAATTAAATGTTAATCTAGCTACCACTAATACAACATGTCTACAATATGTTTAAGGAAAAATATTTAACTACCTCTGCTACAAAAATAATTATTCTTTACATCGTTTCAGGAGCTAGACCTAGCCTAAGGAAACAACTTGAAAAATCACTAGAACGTTTGTGTAAAAATCATTTTTATATATATATTCTAAGCTTCTAGATAACACAGATTATTTTGAAACTGTGTCACATAAATGCTTTAAAATCACTAAAACCATATTTTACAAATGTAATAATGATTAAAAAGTTATCTCCCTTTAACCCTGGTCTAACCCCATTAAGCTTATTATCAAAGGCATTATAACATGTACAATTACACATTTTTAACAATATATTTGTCAATATAAAGATTTACATTAATTTCCATCATCAATATTTTAACACATTTCTAAAAGTCAGCATATTACTATTAAGACTGCTGCCAACCATAGAAATCTTGGAAGTTAAAATAATTAGATTTCCTACATAAAAATCAAACAAAAACAAGTTCATAACAAAACTCAACCAACAACAATGTAAATAATAATGAACGTTTAAACTGATGACACATTCTCTAGGAGAAGTACTTATATGTTCTCTGATTTTCAGAAGATGAGTTGATGGTAAGATTCCTAAGTATCCCCAGAGGATCTGTATCCACTTCAGCTCCAGGAGTTGTAAAACCAGCCGGTGTGTGTGGTGTCTGAGGCTCTATATTATCTATATCAGCACTTCCTGAGGGTAAACGTTTGCGTACTACTCTTGCATAAGTTGGTCTTCCATCACTACTTTCTGAAGAACTTGTTGAAAGTGATTCAGTAGATTCCGCTATTTCTCTTTGTGTTGGTATCTTGAGAAATAATCGACTTGGTGCTGAACCTGTGGAGTTTTCATTGGTTCTTGCAGACTTTGGTATTGGAATAGGATTTGTTGACTTCAATGAACGTTCGTCTGCTGCCGATTCGTCATCTATCATTTGAACTAAGTTCTTTATTTCTGTTGGTGTTTTCATATCCTCACTGAACTGTCTACTGAATCCTGTTGATATTTTCAGTGCAGATTTATGTTGTGCCAGTGTTCTCTCCTCAGAATATCGTGTTGGTGTATGAGTTTCTGTTCTGCTCTCATAAGATGTTGTTACAGTAGATGAAGCCTCTTGTCTGCGCTGAGCTGATGCAATGACTCGCCCCAATGGACTTTGAGCTGAAGACCTTCTTTCATGTGTATCTAGAGACATTGCCATGTAGTCCATTTCACCTTGAGCCTCCCCTTTTACTTCAGATGAAATATCTAATGGAGAATCAGTTTCTCTTGGGGTGCTAGATCTTGAATTTCCTGTGGGAGTTCTTGATCTCTGACCAAACAAATGAACTGGCACATGTTTGACATTTGGCAGAAAATGAATGGGCTGGCCTGCTATAGTTGAGCTGGGAGATGTGCCTGGTGTTACATTTTGTCCTTGTGCTGCTGGTGATAATGACCTTGAGTCACGACCATCATCCGAATGTCTGCTTCCATCATCACTGCCATGAGATGGAGGAGAGTTTTGAAACGGAATAAAATTGCCAGCAGGATGATACGGATGCTGAGGATAGATGGAGTAAGGATGACGAAGCATGGCAGCCATTCGATGATCTTCTTGAACCATGTAATAAGGTAACCCAGGGTTATATGGATTATAATGTGGATGTACAGCAGGATAATAAGGAAGAGGACCTCTTGGCACATACATCATGGTTCTAGGTCGACCCGACTTTTTGCCACCTACTGGTGACTCTCTCCCACTCTTATCTTTATCAGCTATCTTTGCTGCCCGGACTGGGACTGTAAGCCTAGGATTGACTCCTCTTGGATGAAGTTTACCTTGAGGCATTCTACCTCCACCGACATATTGGTGTAAATATGGTCTGTACATTAAAGGCTGGTAGTATCCTGGGTGATACTGTAAAGGCATATATGGCTGAAGTGGCTGCAAATAAAAATGAAAAGTAGCTTTAAATAAATGCAGTGAGATACCAACAAGAATATGTGTTCATAAGACACCTTGCCCCACTCACACTATCAAATTTCCAAGTTCAATGTACTATGAAATCAGGGCCAAAACTGTAATTTTGCATAAATTGTATAAAGTTCACATCATAATTAACACATGTACCAGTTAAAAGTTTAAAATAAAAAGTCTTGAGAATCAACAATATTTTTTTATGTAATCACATGCTTATTTGTTCTTTGGAATTGTCATTTCCGCTTTTTGTTCTCACACAAAATTTATCTTCTTTCTTAAAGATTTATCTGCATATTATGCAACGTTACATAAATCATTGAAGGAAATAGCCTCACTAACAACTTTACATAAATCACTGAAGGACATAACCTCACTAACAACTTTACATAAATCATTGAAGGACACAACCTCACTAACAACTTTACATAAATCATTGAAGGACACAACCTCACTAACAACTTTACATAAATCATTGAAGGACACAACCTCACTAACAACTTTACATAAATCATTGAAGGACATAGCCTCACTAACAACTTTACATAAATCATTAAAGGACATAACCTCACTAACAACTTTACATAAATCATTGAAGGACACAACCTCACTAACAACTTTACATAAATCATTGAAGGACACAACCTCACTAACAACTTTACATAAATCATTGAAGGACACAACCTCACTAACAACTTTACATAAATCATTAAAGGACATAACCTCACTAACAACTTTACATAAATCATTGAAGGACACAACCTCACTAACAACTTTACATAAATCATTAAAGGACACAACCTCACTAACAACTTTACGTAAATCATTGAAGGGCATAGCCTCACTAACAACTTTACATAAATCATTGAAGGACATAACCTCACTAACAACTTTACGTAAATCATTGAAGGGCATAGCCTCACTAACAACTTTACATAAATCATTGAAGGACATAACCTCACTAACAACTTTACGTAAATCATTGAAGGACATAACCTCACTAACAACTTTACGTAAATCATTAAAGGACATAGCCTCACTAACAACTTTACGTAAATCATTAAAGGGCATAGCCTCACTAACACCTTTACGTAAATCATTAAAGGGCATAGCCTCACTAACAACTTTTCAATTTAGTTAATAAACTTTGCACATATAATCATTGATTGGCTTAAGTTGGTTTGATAACGTTTTTTCACTGATCTGTATTGATATATTTTAGTTTTTTCATTCACTTACCTATCTAATTATGGAATATTTTTATTGACTAACCTGTGATGGTATGTTATAAGTGTTTTTATTGAATGAGCTGTCTTATTATGCATTATTTTTATCAACTGAGCTGTCTTATGTAATATCTTTATCAACTGAGCTGTCTTATTATGTAATATTACATATGGTGTAGCATTCTCTTGTTTTCATTGGATATTATGATCACATGTTTCAAAGGTTATTTTATGTATTCGAAGCCTTGTTTCTATTTTCATGTATATTGACGCTATGTTTCTATTTATATGTATATTGACGGTCAATATAAAAAATCTTGCTAAATTTAGATTCATGACGTCACACATAACATACATGGAGGAAGCGCCGCAGCAGACGATTCGAAAAGAAAATTTGCAAGTTTATCAGAAGGAGATATCAAGAATTATATGTTAAATGCAGACGCTAATACAAGAAAGCTAAAGCAACAAGCTATGAAGTTGTTCGTACTTCGTCCTGGGTCAATATAATCTGAACAGGTCCATATATAATGTATTGACCTCGTCAAAAGTCCATAATTGATAAATATCTTTATCAACTGAGATGTCTTATTATGTAATATTTTTATCGACTAAGCTGTCTTATGTAATATCTTTTTCAACTGAGCTGTCTTATCATGTAATATTTTTATTGACTGAGATGTCTTATTATGTAATATCTGTATCAACTGAGCTGTCTTTTCATATGATATTTTTAATTGTTTGACCTGAGTTGGTAAGCACATGCCTTTCATATTATATGATTTTTTATTGACTGACCTGAGTTGGTAAGTGCATGCCTGCCATATAATATGATTTTTTATTTTCTGACCTGAGTTGGTAGGTGCATGCCTGCCATATAATATGATTTTTTTATTGACTGACCTGAGTTGGTAGGTGCATGCCTGCCATAAAATATGATTTTTTATTTACTGACCTGAGTTGGTAGGTGCATGCCTGCCATATAATATGATTTTTTACTGACTTACCCGAGTTGGTAGGTGCATGCCTGTCATATTATATGATTTTTTATTGACTTAGCTGAGTCGGTAAGTGCATGCCTGCCATATAATATGATTTTTTTTATTGACTTACCTGAGTTGGTAGGTGCATGCCTGGGTACATCATTCTCTGTCCCATTAAATACCATGGTTGTTGGTTAACCTGTGCTGCAAACTGGTGGGGTATGTTAGTATTTTCTCCATGCTGTGGATGATATAATCTGTTAGGTACAAATTCTGGAGCTAGAGGGTTCAACACATAGGTCTTTCTTCTCTCTGCTGCTTCAATTTGAGCTTTAAAGGCATCCCATGGCATTCCATAAAAGCTGCCATTTTCTTTGCATTCTTCTAAATAACACTCCCATACTTTCCTATAGGAAAGCAGAAAATGGTAAGAAATTTCAGTATTATCTATTGTAGGAAAACCTAATCACATGTACTATATGAAATACAAAATCACAGAAAACAATGTTTGGATTTTTGATAAAAACTGATATACTGTGAACTTTGAATTTCAGTAATATTTTTTTTTCTCAATTTCTGATAAATAATGTTATTTTTTTTTTAGGAAAACAAATTTAGACAGGACATAATTACAAGTTTTGTTTTAAATTTACATGGCTGTTTTTACATCAGGTATGCCATAAAAGTTTGTTTCCAGTTACAAAATTTTATCATAATGAATTTCTGTGCTAAAAATGTTTCTGGAATAAACTTCCTAAACAAATACTGACATATTTAACTTTTTTAAGATGAAGAATTTAGTTGTGAATTTGTACTCTTATTAGAAATGGTGTAAACAATCAAAGCAATGGAACTTTTATTTAAAAAAAAAATGACATAAAATTTTCACATTGCAAGATTCTTTGTATTTATTTTATTTTGTCATAATATATTGGGAGATTATGGCACCTTAATGAATGCCTTGATTCATATAGCTTGCTTTTATACAAATATCTAGAAACATGTCATATTTTTTTTTTTTTTACATATTAAATCAGTCATTGTAATAATATCATCTCTACATTAGATCTTTTGCAACATCTTTCAAAACAAACCTGCATTTTCCGACTAGACAAAGAGACAGAGGATCTCCAACTACAATTACTAATGACTGAGCTCTGGTCAGGGCGGTATTCAGTAATTTAACATTTGACAAGAAACCATAGTCCATATAGTCCTCCTGCTGTGTCTCACATGTATGTCGAGTCCGTACAGTACTCAATATTACAACTCGAAACTGTTTACCTGTTAAAATAAAACATAGTCCTCTTTGTCTTCTGCTGTTGTTAATATAAATATAAATCCATCTCTAATTTTTCCTCATTCAAATATTTAACTTAAAATTTAAGAATTTTATAATCTTTTTATTGTAAAAATACCATAATTATTCATTCATCATCCATGTCAGTTTTGCAAATTTTCCAAGTCTTCAAGAGTCAAAATTCTTCAGTAGAATTTCAGAATTGCCGACATTTTTCATTCAATTTTTTATATTTCAATGGTTAAGTACTGGCATAAACTTTAAAATATCAATTTGTAAAAAAAACATTTTGAACTAAAATGTTATTGTTTGCTATAATAATTAAGATTAAAATAATCTGCTTTAAAACTTTATATAGGCATATTTGTCATACAATATATTCAACAATTGAAGAAAAATAGAAGAAAATTTCTAAAATAACAATAAATTGTTACCTTGCACGTTATAAATTCTTTCTACACTGACATTATATAATTTTCTTTTTCTCAATTCTGAACGTATTCTATACACCTACAAGATAAATACAGAACAATTCTGAACGTATTCTATACACATACAAGATAAATACACGAATAATAGAAAATCAACAATACATTTTCAACATTTATAACATAATTTCTAAGAATGTAATAACCCAGCTTCCTTATTGATCAATCAATTATTATGCTCTGTATCAACTCTGATAATGAAATTATTTGTATCCTTTGTATATTTTTTCTTGAAGGTGAAAAGATCATAATTTATGTTTAAGTAAACTCCAAGGTTGTCTGTTAATAACAATACAAAAATTCTTCAATAGTGTTTTATTACAGATACAAAATTCAATTTATTAGGCCAAAATTAAAATTTGAATTGTTTGATGTTGCCTACCTACCCTCCTAAAAAGCAGCCTACCCAAAAAAATTTATGGCACAAATCGTTCCTGTCCTAATGTCGTTTTCTTGTCTAAACCATGTAATTTATGTTGCTGGCCAAAAAACAAAAAAAAACCCTACCTACCTACCCACCCCTCCAAGGCATGGGTAGGCAACATCAAACAAAAAATTCTTTAAGGGTGGCCTTACAATATTGTTTGATTAGAAACAATCTAATATGACATGAATGGTTGACCCTTTCATAAAGAATTCTTATATTTACATTTACATTCTGCATAGCCAAAACAGAGGTATCACATGTTCATAAAAAATGTACAAATTAATTATAAAGTCATTAAGTCATGCAACTAGAACATTGGCTGGTTCTTCAATAAAATGTTTGTAAAGAACAGATAATTTTGTCTAACTATTTATCAGAGCAAAAAGTTCTTTCATGTACAATATTGGTTGTGCAGATAAACTTTATGTAAGATAGTGTTTTGCCGCTTGAAAAGTTTAGCTGACTTATCTAGTTATAAACTGTAAACATTTTTATTATTATCTAGAAAATAAGCTGTTCTATTCAAATTAACCAGAGGATGAGAAACAAATATATGTAGACTCCAGTGACAGATATTTTTATTTCATTTATGTGAAATTCTAAAGAAGAGACAAGGAAAAGACAACTTCTCATAGTTGCTGAAATCAAGTTCAATTCAAAGTTGAATAGACAATATTTTCCTTCAAAAATCTGACCTGGTCAGCATAATGACATAAAACTCCAATTCCTCCATCATTAATATCACCAAACTCCTCTGGCCAATTATTCTTTAAATCCGTCACTCTGTCTATTACTTCATATATCTGTAATAAAACAAGCATTCTGAGAGTATTGCATTGCAATACATAGTCCCCTACTGGGTAAAAATTCTTTTTACTGGAACAAAATGCTAACTTGTTCTATAACTTGTCATGGTGTAAACAAAAAGTAAATATCATGTCAATATCTTCAAGCATGACTAAAAACAGTGTGGAAAACTGATTATATGAGTGAAAAAAACATTAGATATGTTTAATAGTTCTCTAAAATTAGATTTGATGTAATACAGTGTATATCTATTTTCAAATTATAATCAAGTATAATTAATAGTTCCAAATATTTTTTCTTTCATTTGTCACAAACTAATGTAGATTTGTAACTTATCTATAAAATGTCAACAACATTTATCTACACAATATAATGTATTGAAATATATACATTAATAAAAATAGATTATTATCTAATTAAAGGATTTCTCTTCCTAAATTTTTCTTTATATATATATAGCATTCAGAAAATTAGTTTATACTAAATAACAAACAAACCTGCTAAAAAATTCTTCAAATAATTTAACAATGAATGTCTTTTAAAAAATGAGTTATCTCCCTTTGTACAGAAATATGGTTTAACATAGCACTTTAACATAAGATATGGTCCATAACTCTGGACTAAATTATCAGACCGGAACAAAATTCGAACTTGATCTGTAACTTGTCATGATATACCAAATATCAAATCAATATCTTCAAGCATGAAGAAAAAAAGTGTGGAAAGCTGATTTGCCGGACTGACAGAAGGACAGACAGACGAACAGACAGATGGAGTGCAAACCTAAAGTCCCCTTTGACTTCGTCGGTAGGGGACTAATAATTTGTATGAATCAGAACTATGATTTTTTTTTATCAAGGAGTGAAAAGAATGGAAATCTTCCTTTTTGTAGTAACACAATATGAGAAAAATGTCATTTACTTCTTAAAATGTGAACATTTAATGCACAAATGAATTTATTTTCATATCAATTTACCTTTAACTTTGTATATTTGTTTGTTTGATTAAAATCCAAAATTATAAGCTAGTGCAATATCTTATATCAAACAGATTTAGTTTGCTTTAACATTCTTTGTCATCCTGAATTTAAATATTTTTATTATAGATGTATAAATATAAATTCTACCTCTGAAACATTGTAGAATCCTGTAGAATTTTGATGTTGTAAATCTTCTCCCCGTACAGTAAAGAATGTGAGTGGATGGTATTTGGGATGAGGTGGCTGGTTTCCACTGGCTACTAACAAATGATCATAGAAAAGATCGGAGGTAAAATCAATGATTTCCCTGTGTGATCTGTAATTTTCACATAACATCATACTGCAAGGACATTTATCTGGATACAAGTCATACAAACGTTCTAAAAGGGATCTGTCAAAGCCCTGTTGTTTACCAAAGTCTGAATAAATCTCTGGACTCATCTGAAATTTAACATTTCAAGTCGTCAATAAATAGAATTGTGTATATAAAGGGAAGCTTGAAGCTTGTTCTGAAATTTTGCTGTATTATTGAGAAACTAAATGTGTCAGTATATCAGTATATTAGGAATGCACTTCCTAATATACTGATATACCTAAAGCTCAAGTTAATTGTGACAAGCAATTGTTTCAGTCCCTTTATAAATAAATGGACAGCTGAAACAAACTTAGTTTCCTTTTTATAAATGGCAAAAGCATTACAAGCTGAAGTTCTATATTGGTTATTTGTACTTTATTCAACAGGGAACCACAATTTCAGTACTGAAAATGTAAAATAATATACAAAAAATAATAATCTTGAGGCCATAATTTTAGAGCTTTTCAGAACATAAATTACATGTTTAGAAATGTGTAAATACCTGCATATGATCTCCTGATAATATAATCTTGGTATGAGGTCCAGCCAGAGATAGTGGAATTAAACATTCTGCTTCCAATGCTTGGGCAGCTTCATCCACTATGATGTGTGAAAATGCATCTGTAAACAAAGGATGTAACAAACTTTAAAGAAAAGTTTACTTTACTGTATTGATCATGCATAACCCAAGTCAAGGTCGTTAAACACCCCCCAGTAGTACTTTACTGTATATTTCATAGTGAACTTCTATGTCATTTGGTTTCTGGTGGAGAGTTGTGTCATTGGCAATAATACCACATCTTCTTATTTTTATATGATCCAGTTGCGATGACAATCTTGACGTTTGAAAAAGCCAATTTGGAATACTTATAGAATCCTACTTTATTATGTTGAACATGTAAAAATATAAACCTTCTTTCATTTCACTGTGTGATTTTACTAGGAAATTTTTGTCATGCAAATTTTATGCATCTTTATCTCTCCCGTAAACGAATACTACTTAAAAGTTCTTGTTCCATATTTTTTGACTGACCTCTAGCAAGGTTAAGGTCACACAGATATCTAGCTGTACTTAGTGTTGTTATTATGATTCTGTGCTTCTCTACATCTTCCTTGGTAGGCATTCTGAAGTTAGATTTCCCTGACATGTCTAGCGGACAGTACTGTAGCACTACATCTGGAACTGTCTGTTTCCACCGATGACGATAATATATACGTAATGGAACTGCCTTTAAATTTCCTTCTTTAACAAGTGGGTGAATGAACTCCTTAATATATAGATCAGCAGCACTGAAAATATTCACCATATATTTACTAAAGGATATTTACTATAGGTAAACAATATTGAAGATATGTATCTTTCAATTGACAAATTTTCCTTTTTGAAAATGCTGTATCATGTGTTAGAATATTGACTCCTTTAAGCAGTTTCAAAATGCATGCAGATAATGACCTCAGTACAAGCAAAGATTGTTAAGTTTAGAAGAATACTGTATACAACATCCATTGATAAATAATGCTAATGAAGTATAAGAGTAGCAAGTGATCGTAAAACAACAATTTAAAAGCATTTCTTTCCATCTCATTATCAAACACAATATTTTAGCAAATAATTGAAAAATTTAATCACCAACATTTACCTATTTGAATGAGTACAAATTAATATTCTAGAATTATCATCTTCTAAGGATTGGACGGCAGCCTGCGCCAGAGTATAAGTCTTTCCAGTCCCATATGGGCCAAGCAATAACAAGGGAGGTAAGCTGAGATCCCGACCAGCAGTTATCCCACACACCACCTCTTTCTGTTTACTATTCAACTTTGAACTCACTAAATCACAGAACTCTTTTCTGAAAAATACAGGTACATACTGTTGTAAATTCTAAATCAAAAGAATTTATCTTAAATCAAATATCAATAGGTAAATATATAAAAGTAATGTCATTCAAAAGTATTTCTTCATATTTATTTTTACTGTGGAAATAATAACAAAATGTCTTACTACAAAAATTGCTTATACAGTTACTAAATTGAAAATGTTGTCCTAAAGTAAATAACAAATATTTGTTGAAATCAAAATATTCTCTTGTATAAAATGAAACTGTGATTCTTCTGGATTATTTAACACTGAAACCATTTCAAGATTTTCATGATTCTATATACATTTTTTATTTTTGTGTGTTTTTTCATTACATACTGTTATAGTACAAAGTACATATATTTTACTTACTCTGTACTTGCCCAGAACGTTGTGGGTATTTTGTCTGGAGGAGGAAACACTAAATCTAAGGTGGATATACCATCTATTGCTGCATGCATCTCACACTTAGATAGCCTATTTAACTGAAACTGGATCTGAAATTAGTATAAAGATGTAAGGGTGTTATAAATAACCTATCTACCTTAAACTGGATCTGAAATTAGTATAAAGATGGTAGGTGTTATGACCTTTTTAACTGAAACTAGAACTGAAATTAGTATAAAGATGATAGGTTTGATAGCCTTTTTAACTGAAACTGGAACTGAAGTTAGTATAAAGATGTTAAGTGTTATTGCCTTTTTAACTGAAATTGGAACCTAAATTAGTATAAAGATGGTAGGCAGGTGTTACAAATATCATGATTCTAATGAAGAAAAGGAATTATTAAAACCATCTATATTGATTATCATAATTTGACAGACTGATTGTATGTATGAACATGATGTCATGTTATTTAATTACCCACACTAATTCTATACAATGTTATCTTTGGAGCATAATTATATGCAGTATTTCCTGAAATCGCAATAATTTTTGAAAAACAGTATCATCTTTCAGGATTGATATGGTTTTATTCATTCAAAATATGTGACTGGTTCAGATCATTTCATTTGAAACTTGCATCTTGATTGTCATCATGCAGTTATTTGAGTCACATTTATTTTTTTCTATTCTTGTCAACTTTTGATTGATTGATTGATTGATTGAATGTTTGTTGCTTGTTTAACATCTAGCGGCCTCAACTTTAATGATTCACATTAACAAATTCTTAATATCATTGTAACAGTCACAAATTGTTAGAATGTACTCTTACTTAACACTATTTCCATCAATTATTGAGTAAATACCCTAATAATAAATAACATTTACCTCTACTTCAATATTGTCATCGTTACTCAATCCTAAATCAGATACACATTTCTTTGATAATCGTAAAAATATAAAATCTTTTCCTTTATCTTCAACAATAACTTCATAAACCTGGAAAAGATAAATTGTCCTTTTATATATAAGTATAAGTTTAGAACAATTCTTATATTGCTTTGACAATTACAAAATAAATCATGTTTCACTTAAAATGTTTAGTTGCAAACTAATTAACAACTTAAACAAAATAGATCAGTGTCTGGTAACAGTTGACCTTCCAATTGTTGAGATAACCAAGATAAACAAAATAGATCAGTGTCTGGTAACAGATTACCTGTCCATTGTTGAGTTAACCAACTTAAACAAAATAGATCAGTGTCTGGTAACAGCTGACCATCCCATTGTTGAGTTAACCAACTTAAACCAAATAGATCAGTGTCTGGTAACAGTTGACCTTTCCATTGTTGAGTTAACCAACTTAAACCAAATAGATCAGTGTCTGGTAACAGTTGACCTTCTCATTGTTGAGTTAACCAAGATAAACAAAATAGACCAGTGTCTGGTAACAGATTACCTGTCCATTGTTGAGTTAACCAACTTAAACAAAATAGATCAGTGTCTGGTAACAGTTGACCTTCCCATTGTTGAGTTAACCAAGATAAACAAAATAGATCAGCGTCTGGTAACAGTTGACCTTCCCATTGTTGAGTTAACCAAGATAAACAAAATAGATCAGTGTCTGGTAACAGTTGACCTTCCAATTGTTGAGATAACCAAGATAAACAAAATAGATCAGTGTCTGGTAACAGATTACCTGTCCATTGTTGAGTTAACCAACTTAAACAAAATAGATCAGCGTTTGGTAACAGTTGACCTTCCCATTGTTGAGTTAACAAAGATAAAGTGTATGTCCATCTGTAAGTCCTTCTGTCCATTTGTTTGTATCGTAGTAGGTTTAAGTTGTTGTTTATGGTAGTTTACCCTGAAGTTGTGGTCACATCAACTTGAAACTTAGTACACATCTTTATTATGATGTGAACTTTTAAAAATACATGCCTCATTAGGGTTTTGATCCAGATTTTGCAGTTCACTCATCAGGTTAAAGTTTTGTTTTAACATAGTTTACCATTAATTTGTGGTCAAATCAACTAGAAATTTTGTACACATGTTCATTATAATTCCACAATTCAATGAACATGAAAATGAGAAAATGCAAGCAGTGCATGGTATGGGAATATATTTTTATTATTCTTAGTTTAGGTTTATTCAAACCCGATAGCTTTCATACATGTGTCAACAATATTTCTTAAATCTTTCTTTCACCATGGCATCTATCATTTCAATGACCAGCAGCCACAAACACATAGCAATATGATCTTACTTTTCTAAGTTCCCCTGTTGGAACTGGTGTTTTAGTAACTTCAGATAACCAAGCAACTTGAGAGTTCATTATCAATCTTCCACCAACAGAATCTTCAGACAAATTCTCTTTTAGTTGCACACGTGCAAACATTTGACCTTCATGAGCATATTTAGCCCCACCTATCAGTGATCCAGGCACCAACATGAATTTATCTACTACTTGAAGCTCAGTCTGGACATTGTACCTAAAATATATGAAACATGTATACATTCACTTAAACAATTCAAATATATCTAAATTTTAAAGGAGATATTTTGATAAAAGTATTTCAATAATTTTACAGTACGCGAGTATCAATATCAATTTGTTATCTATTTTTTCTTTATAAATTTTATCCTCTTAACAGTACCATGAATACAATATATAGCTAATGATTTGTGATTTGGTTCTATGAAAACAGGCTTTATACTGTGGATTCATTTATTTTCTTTGGTAACAATTTTTGCGGATTGAGGAAAAATAGTATTTTCGTGGATATTTGAATTCATGGTTTTGCCAAAGTCCGCATACAAGTCTACATGTGTACATATACCCACTAAATCAATGAAAATTGGTATCGCACGAAAAATAATGAATCCCCAGTAGTTTTTTTTTTACTCGATAGTAAACAGTTACTTGAAGCCATACATTGAGGGTAACAGTTTGATGTGAGGGTAGAAAAAAGAGCTGGCATCCAAGAACACAATCTATACCTGTTTTTTTATACTTTTCTTTTATTGAAAAAAGAAACATTTCATCCTGATGTAAAGGCCAATGAATTCAAGCAAGCAGTCAACAGATCACTGGCATGATATTTCTAGCTAATCAAATGCATACAAGGGGTCAACTATCATAGCTGGCCAAATAAACCAAAAACTGTTACCCTGTAACAGTCACTTCACACAGCTGATGCAGAACTCATTTTCAAAACAGTTAAAACTATTTGAACTGTTAGCAATAGTTCACTAATTATACCACTGCTATATAATTATTTGGTCATCAGGAAGATGTAGAGCAATGGATGTGAAAAGTCATCATACAATAAAGTATGCTCACATGAATGTTAATACCAAATTTTCAGGGTGCTAGGATTCATAGTTCCAGAGATAATTGTTACAAAAATTTCATTCATGGTTATTATGAGTATTAGAGCGTAGAAAAGTTATGATTAAATTCAAGTGAGATAATCAAACATCTGCCATCACAGCCAAGTTTCTTATTGACAAAAACTAAGACATAACTAAACACAACCACTGACCATCATTTTTTATTCCATTACATTAATACAAAAAAATGTTTTAAAGGTATAACAAAAGTGATAGTTAACATGGTTAATCTTAAAAAATGTTAACAAACATTTTTTTTTTTTAAATAAATTACATATTTTACCTTGCAATATTTTCCAGTTGAGCCCATTCCTCTAAATATAACATTTCATGCATCCAGATTCGGTAAGTTTCTTTTGAAGCTGGATGCATCAAGTGTTCAGCTATTCTAAATTTATCACTTTCAGGTAAACAGTATTTAGTCAACAATTTCTTCTCATCTAAAGAATAATCATTTGTCCTAAAAAAAATATTTGCAAAATTGTATTATCATATTCAGTAAGGATAAAACTCAAAAATGTCCATTACTAGTATTCTAAAATTTAAACATGATATTTATCTCTCTGCAGGTTTCATGATAATAGAGAGATAAGTAAGTTAATAATACATGAATGTGCATGTTATACTCGATGCTAAGCATCTACAATAAAATTCTTTCTTCTAACAAAGGTTCTATCATTCTATCAGGCTAAAACAGGCACATTGTAGGCATTTCATTGGTTGCTCTTTTCTCTGTTCTAGTTGTAATAATAATCATTTTTTACAATGTCAAATGTATAAATTTTTTTCTTTGGCTAAAGTTTAAACACATCCATCCAGTTGTTGTAAAAACTCAAATCTATGTGTGCTGACGTGGCATTCAACAACCATAATCAACCAATCAATCAAATGTCAACTCCTGCTAACTCTTACAAAGAAAGACAACCTATTTGTAAAATGACGTGTATAAAATATAACTAACAAAAGCTAACTTGAAGAGATGAGGTGTTTATACAGCAATGTATTAAGTATTTACCATTTCTACCACTAAATACATGAAGTATTTACCATTTCTATCTCTAAATACATGAAGTATTTACCATTTCTACCACTAAATACACGAAGTATTTACCATTTCTACCACTAAATACACGAAGTATTTACCATTTCTACCTCTAAATACACGAAGTATTTACCATTTCTACCACTAAATACATGAAGTATTTACCATTTCTACCTCTAAATACACGAAGTATTTACCATTTCTACCTCTAAATACATGAAGTATTTACCATTTCTACCACTAAATACATGAAGTATTTACCATTTCTACCTCTAAATACACGAAGTATTTACCATTTCTACCACTAAATACACGAAGTATTTACCATTTCTACCTCTAAATACACGAAGTATTTACCATTTCTACCACTAAATACACGAAGTATTTACCATTTCTATCTCTAAATACATGAAGTATTTACCATTTCTACCTCTAAATACATGAAGTATTTACCATTTCTACCACTAAATACATGAAGTATTTACCATTTCTACCTCTAAATACATGAAGTATTTACCATTTCTACCACTAAATACATGAAGTATTTACCATTTCTACCTCTAAATACATGAAGTATTTACCATTTCTACCACTAAATACATGAAGTTTTTACCATTTCTACCACTAAATACATGAAGTATTTACCATTTCTACCTCTAAATACATGAGGTATTTACCATTTCTACCACCAAATACATGAACTATTTGCCACTACATTTCAGCATGCATGAGTTGACTTGTAAGAAAACAAGAACTTTTTTAATCTTACTTATTTTCATATTCAGTTAGTTGTATATTTTCATTCGTCCATCTGCCTTGGTCAGTCATTTGAAGATCTTTTGACAACTTTTCTGTATCAGTGATAGGAGCTGATTCTATCTGCATTTCTCTACTTAACAATGGTTCCATACCAAAATCAAACACTAACGTCTGTCGAAATGTGCCATATATGTCTGTTTTGAATATTACCTGAAATATTCAGAACAAGAATGTGTCCATAGTACACGGATGCCTCACTCTCACTATCATTTTCTATGTTCATTGGACCGTGAAATTGGGGTCAAAACTCTAATTTGGCATTAAGATTAGAAAGATCATATCATAGGGAACATGTGTACTAAGTTTCAAGTTGATTGGAATTCAACTTCATCAAAAACTACCTTGACCAAAAACTTTAACCTGAAGTGGGACAGACGGATGGACGAACGAACGATCAGATGCACAGACCGAAAAAACATAATGCCCCTAGGTGGGGGCATAAAAAATGCCAAATATAATTATATAGTTAATATTGACGTTCATGCCATACTTCACAAATTACTAAAAGGTTATTTTTTTTATGACAAGAGTGCACACACTGAAATGTCTCGCCTTCTTTACTAATCATTGATATTATGTTGATAGTCCTAAATATAAAGCTTTATTAAAACTGTCACATAAACTTAACATTAACCAAGTAAACTAAACATTGACCAATGAACCATGAAAATGAGGTCAAGGTCAGATGAACCATGCTAGGCAGGCATGTACAGCTAACAATTCTTCCATACAACAAATATAGTTGACCTATTGCTTATAGTTTAAGAAAAACAGACCAAAACACAAAAACTTAACACTGAGCAATGAACCTTTAAAATGAGGTCAAGGTCAAATAAAACCTGCGTGACTGACAATTAGATCATAAAATATTTCCATACACCAAATATCGTTGAACTATTGCATATAGTATTAGAAAAAAAGACCAAAACTCAAAAACTTCACTTTGACCACTGAACCATGAAAATGAGGTCAAGGTCAGATGACACCTGCCCGCTAGACATGTACACCTTACAATTATTCCATACACCAAATATAGTAGACCTATTGCATACAGTATAAGAAAAACAGACCAAAACACAAAAACTTAACTATAACCACTGAACCTTGGAAATGAGGTCAAGGTCAGATGACACCTGCGTGACTGACAATTAGATCATAAAATATTTCCATACACCAAATATAGTTGAATTATTGCATATAGTATTAGAAAAAAAGACCAAAACTCAAAAACTTCACTTTGACCACTGAACCATGAAAATGAGGTCAAGGTCAGATGACACCTGCCCGCTAGACATGTACACCTTACAATCATTCCATACACCAAATATAGTAGACCTTTTGCATACAGTATAAGAAAAACAGACCAAAACACAAAACTTTAACTATAACCACTGAACCTTGAAAATGAGGTCAAGGTCAGATGACACCAGCCAGTTGGACATGTACACCTTACAGTCCTTCCATACACCGAATATACTAGACCTATTGCTTATAGTATCTGAGTTATGGACTTGACCACCAAAACTTAACCTTGTTCACTGATCCATGAAATGAGGTCGAGGTCAAGTGAAAACTGTCTGACGGGCATGAGGACCTTGCAAGGTACGCACATACCAAATATAGTTATCCTATTACTTATAATAAGAGAGAATTTAACATTACAAAAAATCTTAACTTTTTTTTCAAGTAGTCACTGAACCATGAAAATGAGGTCAAGGACATTGACTAACGGAAACTTCGTAACATGAAGCATCCATATACAAAGTATGAAGCATCCAGACCTTCCACCTTCTAAAATATAAAGCTTTTAAGAAGTTAGCTAACGCCGCCGCCGCCGGATCACTATCCCTATGTCGAGCTTTCTGCGACAAAAGTTGCAGGCTCGACAAAAACAGTAAGTTTTCCTGTTTAATATTTATTGTCATTTATCTATAATAAAAGAAGAGTTGTCTAAATTGCTAAATCTAGGGGATTTACTTATTCCATAGGTAAGTACAGCATTATTCTGAAACAAAAACTTGTTTCCACCTTTCCTCCTATCTAAGTGACAAATGACAGAAATGCACATGTTTGAGAGCCTATCTGTAAATGTGTGCTTTATATTTTTTGCTTAACAAAGTATATATGCTAAGAGATTTGATCCAAAAATAAAATATGAGGTGAACAACTTCATACAGTACCACATAACCCTCAAGTTTCATTCCATTCTTTTGTAGACTGTTTACATTTTGTATAGGCACATTTTTGTGACATATAGATGGTACAGTCAAGATGATTCAGTTAAGACCAAAAGCAAGAACTTGGTAGGGATGGTTTAATTTTTGACACAGGTGCTTAAAACAGAGTTCAACATGATGTCATGAAATGTAATTGGATATCCTGCAAAATAAGGCCAAAGAAAGACCACTCTTCTAAATAATGAAAGCTAGAATATTGTATTCACCATAATATCATTGAGTAAACTTGACACGTCCCATCAAACTAATTCCTATGTTACATATTCAGAACTAAGAATCCATATAAAGTGGAAACTTACCTTTATTCTATAAACATGTTCCGCTGCAGATTTATTATAATCAGGACTAACCCATTCCTGACAGTTATTTTCTATATTTTGATATTTCTGGGTTTTCTTTGGTCCCACAGATACACTGGCAATGTAAAAGTAAATTCTGTTTGTGTCATCTAACAAGGTTACTCTGTGTAGAGGTATCTGCAATGGTATAATGTTATTCGTCATATTGTATGAAATATTTCATGTAGACTTCATTACAAAAACAAAAAAAATTAACATATTTTGCAAAATCATCCAATTAACTGCATTTTACAGTTATGTTCCTTTATTACCCATGTTGTTTAATTGACAGGTAAACAAAATCTTGTTAATTCTAACTAGATACCCTTAGAATCAATCAGCTTAAGTTTGTGTAAAATTGGTCATGTGGTTTCAGGGGAGAGTTTTTGAAAAAGTTTAATACCACAGATGATGACAAAAGGATGACAAGTGATTGCAATATCTCACATGGCCTATTGGATAAACTAATGTTTTTTTAAAATTGTTCTTGATATAAAATGAAGTATATGTATTTAAAACCATGGCAATTTTCTTGAAGCCAATCCTTACTTTTCAGTCACTAAACTTCACTTTTTAACTAAAGATTTTGTATATTAAATATCAACCTACCTTGCTAGTTAGTGTAAAGGTCCAAGCATTGGTGCATTTCTTAGATGTCATACTAACTTTAAGGTCAGAGTTCAAATGGATTTTTGCATATTCAACATTTTGTACCATCTGCAAATGATAAAATACATGGTGAAAGTTTAAAATTAACAAATAAAATCTATCATCTATTTGGTTGCTTTAAATCAAGATTCATGAATGCAACTAAATATAAATGACCCAATATCTCAGTTTAATGGTTACCTTTTTCTTTTCTTTTGATAATTGAAGGAAATTTGACCAAAAAATAAGCACTGTAAATGGACACCTACTGATGATAGGGACTAACAAAGGGGAACAGAGTCTCTCCTGTTTTATGATGATGATGATGATGATGATGATGATGATGCATTACCGTGTTGCATCTTAAAAAGTATCGAAGCCTTGTTGACTTTTATAACTCCTTTGTCAAAATTGATGCAAAGTATTTGAAGAAATGGAAGACTATATGTGTCTGTGATACACAGATGCCCCTGCCTACAACCTCAAACATATATGTACTAAATATGAGCTCTGCAGGCATTACCGAAACAAGAATGTGTCCATAGTACACGGATGCCCCACTCGCACTATCATTTTCTATGTTCAGTGGACCGTGAAATTGGGATCAAAACTCCAATTTGGAATTAAAATTAGAAAGATTATATGATAGGGAACATATGTACTAAGTTTCAAGTTGATTGGATTTCAACTTCATCAAAAACTACCTTGACCAAAAACTTTTACCTGAATCGGGACAGACGGACGACGAACGGACGGATGATCGAACAAACGGACGCACATACCGAAAAACATAATGCCACTAGGTGGGGCATAAAAAAAAGACTGGACCAGTACAATTTTAAAGGGTCGCAATTCCAAGTCATTCAACAAGAACACAACAAACTTTATCTGTAAGAGATCATTACACACCATAATTTACCAAAAATCAGATCAATATCTGCAGGCATAACAAAAACAAAAAACTTCTTGATTTTAGATTGAAAGAACGGATATGAACACTAGATGCATTGGTCACTTAGTGCCAGGGAATAAAAAAATTGTGGATATCTTTTGGGGCAAAGGTTGTGGTGTGTATTTTTTCTTAGCATATTTGAGTTAATATTTTGTATAATTTGCTATTTTACTATTATATTTTTTACAGCGGTTAAGCCTGTAATATGAAAATGTATTAAACTAAAAAACTATGTTTTATGTAATAAACTGTGCAAACTGAAAAAAAATTTGGTTCCACTTTAATTTAGTTACAATGAATTTAACTTTCAAAACTACTTAACTAGGATACTACAAAGCACTCAAAATTAATCCCATTAAAGAAGTAATGTCAGTATAAATAAAATGCTCCGCGGGCCACAGCTTGATACGACCACAGAGGTCGAACCCTGAACAGTTGAGGCAAGTATGGACACTGCATTCAAACTTGATACAGCTCTGAATTTGGATTGTGATTAAATATTTGACACATCATAAGTTTCTGACACAGAATACATGTGGTTAAAGAACTGAAAATTTTGAAATTTGAATTTTACCTATTATAGTCCAATATCCCAAATCTAAATACACCATTAGATTTAGCATATCATAGAACCATAGAATTTCAATTTTTTATGAAATCAAACAAAGTTTAATTTTGGACCCTTTGGACCACAATGTGGACAAATTTGATAACAAACTCTACTTATAATTTCTATTTATTGTGCAATACAGCTCTGAATTTGGATTGTGATTATATATTTGACATAGCATAGTGTCTGACACAAAATGAATGTGGTCTTAGAACTCAAAAATTTGAAATTGGACATTTACCTATTATGGTCCAATATCCCAAATCTAAATACATGGTTAGAATCAGCATATCAAAAAACCATAAGAATTAAATTTTGGATGAAATCAAACAAAGTTTAATTTTGGACCCTTTGGACCTCAGTGTGGACCAATTTGATAATAGATCCCAAATCTATATACATGGTTAGAATCAGCATATCAAAGAACCCTAAGAACTTAATTTGTGATGAAATCAAACAAAATTTCATTTTGGACCCTTTGGACATCAATGTGGACCAATTTGATAACAGGGCCCAAAATCCAAAATCTAAATACACAGTTAGATTTAGCATATCAAAAAACCTCATATATTCAATTTTTGTTGAAATCAAACAATGTTTAATTTTGGACACCGATTTGGATCAACTTGAAAGTTGGGCCCAAAATCAAAAATCTTAAAAAAAATGGTTAGATTCAGCAAATCAAAGAACCTCATACATTCAATTTTTGTTGAAATCAATCAAAGTTTAATTTTTAACCATAATTTGAACCAACTTGAGAACTGGGTCCAAAATCAAAAATGTAAATACATGTTTAGATTCAGATATCAAAGAGCCCCAAGAATTCACAATTTTTGTTAAAATCGAACAAAATTTTAATTATAGACCCTTTTGACTTTAATGTAGACCAATTTTAAAACCGGTCCCAAAAAATCAAAAATTTAAATACACAGATCGATTCAGCATATCAAAGAACCCCAAGAATTCATTTTTTTTTTTAAATGACACAAAGTTTCATTTTTGACCTTTTTGACCTTAATGTGGACCAATTTGAAGACAGTCCCCAAAATTAAAAATCTAAATACACAGTTGATTCATCATATCAAAGAACACCAATAATTCAATTTTTGATGAAATCAAACAAAGTTTAATTTTGGACCCTTTAAACCTTAATCATGTTAATATGGACCAATTCAAAAACAGGGCCCAAAAACCCAAATACTTAATACACCGTTAGATTCAGAATATTAAAGAACCCCAAGAATTCAAGACTTTGAAATAAACCCCTGTAAAATCGGTCAAGAAATAATCAATTTATACAAAGTATTACACAAGTATTGTTTTTGGCCTCTTTTTCCTAAACGGTTAGGGTCATAACCCCCAAAAATCAATCCCAACATTCCTTTTGAGGTATAGAACCTTGCGGTAAAATTTCATAGAGATCCATACACATATACACAAGTTATTGTCATGAAACAAGAAAAATGCTTGTGTTTGGCCCCTAATTCCTAAACAGCTAGGACAATATCCTCATCATCAATCCCAACCGTCCTATTGTGGTATGGAACCTTGTGCTACAATTTCATAGAGATCCATACACTTATACTCAAGTTATTGTCTGGTAACCAAAATGTCTTCGGACGACAACGCAGACATCACCATAACATTATACGAACGCAAAAATTTTGGGGTCATATAAAAATCCTTAACTAGAAATGCCTACCAGTGACTTTGGATTATCCATATTAACAAGCTTTTCCATCAGCTGTTCAGCATATGTAGTACCATGTAGATGTTTTTCTCTAGCAATCTTCATCTGTTCTTTCTTGTACTTGAATCTTTCTTTCCATTCTTCCAGTTCTTCAGTTGAATGGGCCTGAGTACATTTTTCACCAAGATGGCATTTGGTAGTCTCCACAAAACTTCTACATAATGTATATTCCTCACTGGAAAGACCTCTCGGAGGATAGCGATATCTCCACCGTCCATCTTCATCTGATGTTATCTTTTTCTTATGTAAGTCACTTCTACAGTGAGTTTCTAGTTCTGCTTCTGAGGTAAATTTCATGTCACAGAAGTCACACCAACAAGGTAGCTCTACAATTAAAGTATTTACCATTATTTTGTTTCAAGCTTGTATTATACCATTTATTTAATGGTCCTGTATATCAGATTAAGCTTACAACATAAAAGTTGAACTTTAATAAAAATTACACTAACAAGATGTTACTTTAAAACTCTTACTCATGTTTTATTTTTTCATTGTTCTATATTCATAAAATCAAGAAAATCAATGACATGCTATGTAAATAAGTTCATTCTTAATGTTTTAGTAACTTTATGTAAACTGTTTATGGAAATATATTCTTGTCAATTATAAAAAAAAAACAATACTATTTCAACAGAAAGTTTAGTTCTGGTAAAATCATTCAGAAACTTGTGTTCTGGTAACACTTAATGCCTTTAGCTTAGATTTGACATAAAAAGAGTAAAAAATAGTTGTTCAGAAACTCAAATGAAGTACCTTACTGAAGATCAAGGAACAGCAAATGGACAATGTGAAATATTTAAGACAATGTAGACTAAAGTCTGCTGGCAGTTTAAGTCGAATGAAGGGAAACATAAAAATTGCCTAAATTTCAGTCTATAAATTGCTGCTGTCATCTTGATCTTTGACCTAGTAACCAAAAATTCAATTGGATTCTTTTTTATTCCAAGGTGCATTATCCACCAAAGATAGGTAAAGATCTGATTCTTGGCTCAAAGCATATTGTCCTGGAACTAATCTTTCCTGAAATTTTCAGTCTATTTGTATGTACTGTGAATTAGACTTTTGACCAACTGACTCAAAAATGAACAAAAGTTTTGATTTTCCCAAAGTGGCACCCTCCAGCTAAGTTTGGGGAACATTGGACATATGGTTCAAAAGTTAATATCCATAAACCAAAATCCCCCATTTAAGTCTATAAATTGCTGCAGTGACCTTGACCATTGGCCTAGTGACCTCAAAATCAAGTCATCACATGACTCATGAGTCATGAGGCATTATTAAATCAGTTTGGTGAAAGTTGAACATCCATGTATGGTTATTCAAAAGATAAAATCTTGCAACCATTATTTTCCCTTCCCCAATTTTCAGTAAATCAATAGATGCTGTGACCTTGATTTTTTAACCTTTTGATCCCAAATCAATTGAGGTCTTCCCCCCCATGGGGCATAATCCCTTCTAAAGACTAACTGACCTGTTGGTCAGACATCATTTTTGCTATGCACTTTACATGTTGTCTTCTGAAGACTTCCTTACCTGTTGATCTGACATAATTGCTAGGCACTTTATATGTTGTCTTCTGACGATTACCTTACCTGTTGGTCTGACATCATTATTGCTAGGCACTTTATCAGGAGATACACTCCTCCTTTCTTCACTATTCAATAAAGGAGATATATCTTCTGATGGACCTGCTTGTTCTTCCAAATCATCCTCATCTGAATCCTGCCATAAATATATTACTAATTGTTAGGAACAGTATTCATTAAAACTATTTATAATGCTAAATAAAATAATTTAAAAAATAAGTAATCCAGTGTACAAAATTAACTGTAAACACACACACACAGGTCTCATCTGCCAGCAATTTATGTCATAAATGTCTGTTCTCTATGATGCAATCAAGTGACCTTGAATTTAATCTATATCATCGAAACTAAGTTTTTAATCATGGATGGTGATTACATCAAATTTGGAATGTAAGGCAATTTTAATATCCTATGTCATATTGTGACCTTGATCTAGAAATAGAACAGGATTCAAGCTTTATCTATGGTCAAGAATTTGATATTTGATAACAGTTGGATAAAGTATTGTACCTCTATGATGCCATACAATTGTTCCAAGCAGACACAACCAACATACAAGGGTAACAATTGCAGTCTGCGCCAAAAACTTTTTCATCTACTAGTGTGGAACCTAAATATCAAAACTTGAAAATTTTCACTAGTCCGAATCAATATTTACTGGTCTGGGGCATCGGACTAGTGGCTAACGGTGCAGACTGCAATTGTTGGCAATAGCTTACATGGCCAAAACAGATTTTTTTCTGTCAAAGCCAATTTTCATAAAGCATCTGACAATGTCAGACATGCATTAATATGATTTTTAAAACTGGCACTTAGTTTATTAGTAAGTCGATTACATTCTCTTTTTGTCCATCATTTTTTTTAATACATATTATCTGGACCCATGGTCAGGTACAATGCCCACCAATATGGTAGAGTCTGATTTTTTGGAAAACTTTATGTGTTGTTATGACACACATGTGACTGCCTGCAGCCTTATCACAACAAATAAGCCTTAAATATACTAGTATATTATTATAATGCCTTCAGGAAAGAGAATAGGCAGTTTCTGCATTTCTACTGCTACATCATTTACAATATTTACTATGAAAGGTTTTTTACAACCATAAACTGAAAAACAAACCCAGTAAAAATGACTTAAAGGCAATAAAAAAAAACAGTACCTTAATTCAAAATACAAAAACATATTTTCAAGACAAATCAATAACTTACATCTATTATCATCTTTTCCTTTACTACAAAGATTTTTCTAATTTATCTTTTTTTAAATAAAGTTATTAATTAATTGTTAGAAACTTTACCCCATCTTGTAAGGCCTGTATAACAACTTGTAATCTTTTAACTTCTTTAGCTGCTAGAGCACTCTGAAACGAAATTAATTTATATAAAAAAAAAAATATAAATCATGTTAAAATGCACTTTTGAATATATCTTATTTCCAATACAACAATATATAGATTCTGTAAATAGCTTTAAGAAAGCTTTTCTAAAACAAGAGTGTACACGCTGAAATGTCTCACATTTTTTAATGACCATTGATTTTATGTCTTAAAGAGAAAGGTTTTACTATAACCATAACAGAAACTTAACATTTAAAAAAATCTATAACAATGAGGTCAAGGTCAGATAAATTGTGTCAGACAGACATATACACCTTACAATTTTTTTATACACCAAATATAGTTGACCTATTGCATATGCTAATTGAAAAACAGACAAAAATACAAAAACTTAACATTGAAATGAACCATAAATATGAGGTCAAGGCCAGAGGATACCTGCCAGACAGACATGTGCACCTTACAATTATTCCATACACCAAATATAGCTGACCTATTGCTATTAGTAATTGAAAAACAGACCAAAACACAAAAACTTAATATTGACCATTGAACAATAAAAATGAGGTCAAAGTTAGATTATACCTTCCAGACAGACATGTACACCTTTCAATCATTCCATACACCAAATATAGTTGACCTATTGCATTTAGTACTTGAAAAACAGACAAAAACACAAAAACTTAACATTGACCAATGAACCATGAAAATGAGGTCAAGGTCAGATGATACCTACCAGTACGACATGTTCACCTTACAACCTTTCCATAAAACAAATATAGTAGACCTATTGCTTATAGTACTTGAAAAACAGATAAAAACACAAAAAAACTTAACATTGACCAATGAACCATGATAGTGAGGTCGTGGTTACATGATAACTGCTAGACTTACATGTACCCATTACAATCATTCCATACACCAAATATAGTTGACCTACTGCTTATAGTATTTGAGAAACGGACCTAATCACATAACTTTAACCTTGATCACTGATACATTAAATGAGGTTGAGGTCAGGTGAACTCTGTCTGACAGACATGTAGACGGTGTAAGGAACCCATATACCAAATATAGTTATCCTATTACTCATAATAAGTGATGAGAAATTCACATGACAAAAAAAAAAATTTTCAAGCAGTAGCTGAACCAAGAAAATGAGGTCAGGGACAATGGACATATGATTGACGGAAACTTCGTAACCTATGGTATCTGCATACAAGATATGAAGCATCCAGGTCTTCTACCTTCTGAAATCTAAAGCTTTATACAAATATTTTACGCCCCCGCCGCATAGTAATACCTATGTCTCGCATACTGCGACTTTCGTCGCAGGCCAGACAATTATGTCGTGAATGCCAACCTATCAAGCTCTGCATTTTCCAAGTTAAAAAGGGCATAAATCTAGAACGGTGAATGAGTCACTGCCCAAATTCGAAATATGTCTGCATTTTGTAGTTTTAAGCATTTTGAATGAGTTTCATAAAATTTGGATGAGGAAAACCTAAGTTAGAGTGCAGAAACGAAAAAATTTGCAATTTTTGAAGTTATAAAGGGACATAACTCTAGAACAATAAGTGACTTGCTCCTCAAATTCAAACTCTGTCTGCAAGTTTTGGTTCTTAACATTGTGTATGAGTTTCATAAAATTTGCATGAGGCAAACTTGAGATAGAGTGCGGAAACGAAAAAATTAACAATTTTCCATATTATAAAGGGACATAACTCTAGAATGGTAAGTGACTCCCTGCCCAAATTCATACTCTGTCTGTGAGTTTTGATTCTTAGCATTGTGTAGGAGTTTCATAAATTTTGCATGAGGTAAACTTAAGTTAATGTGTGGAAAGGAAAATTGGACGGACGGAAGGTCAAGGGTAACACTTAATGTCCCCTTCACCTATGGCGGTGGGAATAAAAAAAGATATATTATAAAATAATAACAGACATGCTAAATGCCAAGTGATAATTCTAGTACTCTGAATTAGATGTGTTTGTGTGTTCAAATATGTTTTTAAACAATAGCAAACTTTCAGTTCAGAGATAAAATGGAAGTATTGTGTGATTTACTCTTACCTGATATGGTCTAGATAGGTAAAGGGTAGGTATAGGTAGGTCTGTACCAAGTCAGGTTATCTGAACCATGTGTTTATTGTTGTTGTTTTTGTTTGTGCTACTATTTCTAGACAGGTTTTTTGTATGGTCTGTTGTACTGTTCAATATTTTTTGGTAATTCCTGTTATCTTCATATGTTTTATTAAGTAATTGGGATTTTTTCTGGTCGAGCTGAATTTAACCTTTTTAAAAACACACATATTTATTTTAAGAATCAATTATCATCCATAAAGGTGTATATATACCTGTGGTTGATCCTCAAACCATTGTTTTGCTATAGTATATGCATGATCAAAGTCCCCCTGATGGCACAGAATCTTGATCTTCCTCTCTTTTAACTTCTCATGTTCTCCAAATGTTTGAATTGCTTAAAATCAATACATTAAAATATAATTACCGTGTCTATATAAACACATTTAACTGAAACATATAAATTATTCATCAAACATTACAATATTGTATTGATATCTGTCTTTTGATATGTTGCACTAAATAAAACAAATGATATAAATACACATTACCTTTGTGGTTATGAAATCAAATAATTTATTTTAAAAAAATAATTCCTAAACCAAGGGGGTAGGTATTATGAAAATCAAAATAATTTCCTCATTAGTTTGTTTTGCTTAAGACAAATCTCATTAATCAGCCAGACACCATTTATCTAAGCATAACTTCTGAGCTGTATGAGACATCCTGCTGAAAATCAATTCGATTTTCATTGATTGAATAGAAATATTAATGTTAAAGTAAAGTAAAAGACTTTTCAATAATTTATGACTATTTTCCAGAAAAAAAAATACTGAAATACTGTGTATATAGGTATTTCCAATTCCTTCTCCCGCCCTACCCCAAATCAATAACAGTTAAAAATTATCATAGTCCACATTTAAAAAAAAAAATAAAGATATTTTCCCAAGTATTTCAAGACAAGCTGCCACCTTAAAACTCATCCCAGATATTTATATTTGTACAGTGAAAATGGACAAAGAAACTGGGCGTAAAAATTACATTTATAGCCTCTGAAATTTTAACATGTTTAATGCTTTTTATATAAAGAAACATTCTCTTCTAAATAGCAGAAGGCTATGTAGCTAAGTCAATCTATGTAGCAACAGTAACTGTCTTCTATTAGTTTATTTATTTCTGACACATATGGCTGTTGTTTGTCTCTTTTGAAGTTTTAACATTTGGCATAGCAGGTTTGTTAATACTTACTTTATATTATTCGTCCTTGCTGATGACTTTTTTGCAAGTGACCTGTAAATGTTTTCCTTAGGTTTGTGTCGAATAGTTGTCTCATTGGCAATCATACAAATCTCTTGACTTACCAGTATATTGAATACTATAAAAAAAACTTACCAGATTCACATTCTGCTAATGCAAGGGTGTATTTTTTCTAAAAATAAAGAATATTACTCACATGTATACATAGAGTTTTCTCAACACATAAATTTACATATGTACATATTTTTCCAAGGTTAAATTCTCCAGATTGAATCAATAGAAATTGTGCTGTGGATGAATTTATTTTCCGTGATGACTTCCTTCCAAACTCTCTATTTCACAATGAACAGTTGATCAGAAAATGATACATGTTTACTACATCATACAAACCAGTTTATAAACTGTACACTTCATTTTATAAGGAAGTACTTCAGGTTTTTCCTATTATCAATAAAAATCTTACTTAAAATAATATGTGAAATTGAAAGCTTGCATATTTAATTGCAATAAATTTGCACTAATTATAATCATCAGTCAAGGGTGAAACCTTGTGTTTTAACTTCTGTGTACATGCACCAAGGTATTATAAATATATAGTTTGTACAATTGATATATTTAAGGTTTTATCTTAATTCAGGTTATAAATAAATAGCTGATGTAAACTGCTTTCATCAAATTCTTGAAACATTTTTTCTTAATTATATAATGTAATATTCTATGCAAAATTGAGATGACTGGAATGGATGATAATACAAAGGAATACACAATATGAATCATAAGTACTTTTTTAAAAATTATTTGTTGTTAAGAATACTGGTGTCGTAAAAACAGCACCTTCTCTCACTTAGTGAAATTTGTCCATAGTTTCCTTTGTTACCAGTACTTGTACCAAAATTATTGTACTTAGTACTGAAAATGTGTCCCTTATAACATCATGAGCATGTATTACAGAAATATATATTCCATATATTTTTTATGGATAAATCTAAATATGACTCTTCCAAAATAGCATCCTACCCTCTCCATTCTTTATCAGTGTGGTGTGCAAGAGATATGTTATCAACCTTTAAATAAAATGCTTAATTGCACAAAAGTATTATCTGTGGACTTTTACTTTGAATTCCATACAAAATACCATGCCTAAAAGTTCATAATTTGATTGATAAATTTCCTTTATGCAGGAAACTTTACTCAGATTTTGGACAGCATTTATTATCTTTGGAAGCTTCAGAGTGCCAAGGTTATCTTTCATTCAAAAGGAAATTAAATTGGGGCTTCTTATTGCTTTTGACAAAGGGAATCATTTGGGGACACAAATTATACCTACATATATAACAACTTTCATTGAAATCCAAGCAAGATCAGAATGTTTCTCAAAATTAGTCATTTTTTTAAAAATAAAAAACTCAATTTTTACCACAAATTTGACATGGGAAGTATTGATCAATTTGGAATGCATAATATACAGATACAGCATCTTTTGTTGAAAGCATTACACAATTTAAGAACCTTTAAGGAGCAAGCTAACATACCCCACACCTTCAATAGGGGAAAAAGCTTATAGATACCTAATGGCATAGTTTTTTCTTTTTTACTTTAAGGCATCATCAGTCTTTTCTGTTATGATTTTAGATAGAAATTTTGTCTAAAACAAATCTATTATTAGACCAACTTGGATTTTCCACTTATTATATACTGAGTGCCAATAGAAATGCAACACATTATTTTTTATGTTATTAATGAATTATAACAGTTTAAAATTGAAATGATTTTAACGACACAAAATTGTAAATTTCTCTGGAATCGCCAACACTTCTTTAGATTTTGAAGACAAAACAAGCATACTGAGAGTATTGCATGGCAATACATAGTCCCCTACCAGTAAACAATTCATTGTATTGGAACAAAATCCTAACTTGATCTATAACTTGTCATGGTGTAAACTATGTAACAAATATCAAGTCAATATCTTCAAGCATGACGAAAACAAAAATGTGTCCATAGAACATGGATGCCCCACTCGCACTATCATTTTCTATGTTCAGTGGACCGTGAAATTTGGGTCAAAACTCTAATTTGGCATTAAATTAGAAAAATCATATCATAGGGAACATGTTTACTAAGTTTCAAGTTGATTGGACTTCAACTTCATCAAAAACTCTTGACCAAAAACTTTAACCTGAAGTCAGACAGAAAACGAACAGACTGACGAACGGACGCACAGACAGAAAAACATAATGCCCCTAAGTGGGGAAAACTGATTATTTGAGTGAATTTTCAATTGTCCAAGGACCATAACTCTGAACAAAATCATCAGACCAGAACAAAATTTGAACTTGATCTGTAACTTGTCATGATAAAACAATACACCAAATTCAAATGTCAAATCAATATCTTCAAGCACGAAGAAAAAAAGTGTGGAAAACTGATTTGCTGGACTGACGGATGGACAGAAGACAGACAGACAGATGGACAGAGTGCAAACCTAAAGTCCCCTTCGACTTCCTCGGTAGGGGACTAATAAAAAACAGGAATTTAATACTAAATAACGAGTGATTCCAGATTCATTTACAGGATTCATTCTGTTTATCAAATGACAAGAAATCATCGTATTTTTTTATTTTAATACCTATAAAAGTGTTTAAATATAACTGCCCAATATCCAAAAAAGTAATACAAGGTTAGAACCCCCAAAAATAAGACTTTAAATTAATCCCACTGAAATAAAAAGATTTATAGAATAGCTAATTTAAGAATTAAAATATAGAAAAATATTCAACGAGTGACCGAACAACACATTAATTCACGAATGCACGTAGCGCATGAGTTAATTATCAGTGTTGTTCGGCCACGAGTTGAATATTTTTCGATATTTGAATACTTGGAAGAGTTATCTTTTTATTACATTGACAATTGGTTTTTTAATGGAATTAAAGTAGAAAATGTAAGGAACTATATCTTTTTCTACGCATTCACAATTTGCTGTGACAGGACGTCATCGACAACGTCTTGACAACACCTATTGTTGTATGACGTCAGAGGAGTGAAATAATTATTTATGTGAAATTATCGGTTTTTATTTCACTGGGAAATCAAGGTAATTTATTGCAACCAATGTAATAATTGTATTTATTTTCAATTGAAGATTTCTTGCTATTGCGCAATACTGTATAACTGAAGATTTCTTGCTATTGCGCAATACTGTGCAATTGAAGATTTCTTGCTATTGCGCAATACTGTGCAATTGAAGATTTCTTGCTATTGCGCAATACTGTGCAATTAGAGATTTCTTGCTATTGCGCAATACTGCAATTGGAGATTTTTTGCTATTGGGCAATACTGTGCAATTGAAGATTTCTTGCTATTGCGCAATACTGTGCAATTGAAAATTTCTTGCTTTTGCCCAATACAGTGCAATTGAAGATTTCTTGCTATTGGGCAATACTGTGCTATTGTGCAATTAAAGATTACTAGCACAATGCTGTGCAATTGAAGATTTCTTGCTATTGCCCTATACTGTGCTATTGCGCAATCCTGTGCAATTGAAGATTTCTTGCTATTGCGCAATACTGTGCAATCATTTGAAATTTCAAAAATTTTGAATAAAAAAAAATATGAACCCCCAAAAAAAATCCCCCCAAACTTTTTGAACCCCCTCCCCCTTGGAGTAATTACCTCCAAATTAATCCCAGCCTTCCCTTTGTGGTATGGAACCTTGTAGTACAATTTTTGAGAGATCCATACACTTAAACACAAGTTACTCTCTGGAAACTAGAAAAATGCTTGTTTTTGGCCCCTTTTTTGCCCTTAATTCCTGAACCATTGGGGTAATTACCCCCAAACTCAATCCCAGCCTTCCCTTTGTGATATGGAACCTTGTGGTACAATTTCTGAGAGATCTATACACTAACACACACGTTATTGTCCGGAAACTACAAAAATGCTTGTTTTTGGCCCCTAATTCCTAAACTGTTGGTACCATAACCCCCAAAATCAATCCCAACCTTCCTTTTGACGTATTGAACCTTCTGGTACAATTTCTTAGAGATCCATTCACTTAAACTAAAGTTGTTGTCCTGAAACCAAATGTCTCTTCGGACGACACCATAGCATTATACGACGCAAAATTTTTTTGCGGCTGTATAGAAATAATTGGTCAGCACTGATTTTCGAACTTGTCCAAGACATTGCTGATATGAAGCTATGATATAAGTTTCATAAAAATCTGGCACGACTTGTACACATGAGAGCACTAACAATGCAATTTTCCATATAGTTAATATTTCCAAGGGGTATAACTCGTTTAATAAAATGCTCCGCAGGGCGCAGCTTGATACGACCGCAGAGGTCGAACCCTGAACAGTTGGGGCAAGTATGGACACAACATTCAAGCTTGATACAGCTCTGAATTTGGATTGTGATTAAATATTTGACACAGCATAGGTTTCTGACACAGAATGAATGTGGTCTAAGAACTTAAAAATTTTAAATTGGACATTCACCTATTATGGTCCAATATCCAAAATCTAAATACATGGTTAGATTCAGCATATCAAAGAACCCCAAGAATTCAATTTTTGATGAAATCAAACAAAGTTTAATTTTGGACCCTTTTGACCTCAATGTGGACAAAGTTGATAACGGGGCCCAAAAATCTAAATACATGGTTAGATTCAGCATATCAAAGAACCCCATATATTCAATTTTTGTTGAAATCAAACAAAGTTTAATTTTGGAACCCGATTTGGACCAACTTGAAAACTGGGCCCATAATCAAAAATCTAAATACATCTTTAGATTCAGCATATCAAAGAACACTAAAAATTCAATTTTTGTTAAAATCAAAGAATCTAAATACACGGTTAGATTCGGCATATCAAAGAACCCCAATAATGAAATTTTTGATGAAATCAAACAAAGTTAAATTTTGGACCCTTTGGACCTCAATGTGGACCAATTTAAAAACGGGGCCCAAAATCCAAAAACTTAATACACGGTTAGATTCAGCATATTAAAGAACCCCAAGAATTCAAGAATAAAACCCCATTGAAATTGATCAAGCAATAAGCAATTTATAAGAAGTATCTTCTTTTGCACAATACTGTGCAATTGAATATTTCTTGCTATTGCGCAATACTGTACAATTGACAATTTCTTGCTATTGCGCAATAT